TTTGATAAAATTTTTAGCAGTTACTAATCTCATCTCATATTACAAACCAGGACAAGAAAGTTGAAAATCGCGACACTTATGATTTTCCTTACGATTTAAAAAAAGTTAGTCAATTTTATATGGCGCGTATTCAGTTTTGCTCTTAAGGATGTGTTGGCTATACAGTCAATCCCAAAAGTTTGTGTACCTTAGAAAAACGCATTTCGTATATGTTCAAAAAATATTGTAGAAATAGGATAGGACTCCTCTTATCNGGTTCCTTCCCTGGACAGAGGATCAGCTGTGGCCTACCTGCGAGCGGCAAGGACGCTGACCCATTGACCGTGGCCCATCGTTAGCAGGTGCACTTGCGAATGAATGGGTAAGTCTAAATCTCTACAGTTTTTACATTTTCTTTTTAATTCAATATTCCCCGCGACTTGTTAATCCTATCATCATCCATCAATTATCAACAATCTATCATTTCTCCATCCATTGCACGTGAACAACGATTAAGTGTATTAATTGTTATTCATAATAGTGCACGAACAACAATTTCCTTGCATTGTTATTCATGTAGTTTGTTAAACGCTTCGTACTGAGCGGAGCGCTTGTTCAAACGCGTGAAAAGCCGCCCGGCCGGATCGGAGCCAACGCTCCCGAGCCGGAGCGCGCGCGAACCGAGCGCTCTGATTGGTCGGTGTTTTTTGTTAATAACTCCTCAACCACGCCTCGGACAACTTTTTCGCAAAGGAAAATGTTGTTTAAAATCATGTCAGGAACCTCCCATTAAAATTCCTTACACTAGTTTTGGGACACCCTGTATATACATACATATATCCTTAAGTGTACCTCGAGAATGTAAAAGCTACAGAGTTACCCAATGAAAGCAACGAAAAAGATTTTCGTTGGAGTATATTCCTAATTCGAAACTATACATATAAATTATGGCATGAAGCATTTTCATAATATAAAAAACATGAGCTATTTCGATGGCCTCTTCTAACTGAGACATCCTATAATATAAAGCCCTCCATCCTCCAAAAAGTGTCAATAAGTTTAGTGTTAATATAACATAAATTTTGACTTGTAAATGACAGTAGAAGCTTAGCTGAGTAAAAATTGGAACATTTACATTGTATGTGGAAACTTCCTTCGACACGTACTATTTATAGAAGAAGAACGAAAGATCGTGAAATTCAAGGTAAAACTAAATTATAATCATTTTTAGTAAAAGCCCATCAATCCTGAGGTGCAGGGTCAGACTGCACTCTCCACGGCGTATAATTCTGAAACAGCCTGTACGAGATTCGAGCGCGGAGTGAGAAAACAGTAGTGAGAAATTCGGACCGAAATTCCTACACGGAATCGAACCTTGAAACGGCGGGCGAGGGTTGATTGACTCTCGATAATGGCCGATTGTTAATGGCCGTGGCCGTGTGCGTGCCACAGGGTGGAGAGCTGTAACACGAGTAGCGGATTTATGGCTCGCAGCCGCGACGCGGACCGATTTAAACTGTTTGACAGGCCAATGAAACGAGTTCCAATTCCAGTTCGTAAAATCGACTGGAACTTATGTAGTTAGTCAAGCTGCGGCGCCCGGGATGAGTGTGACAGAAGGTACGGCTCTCGAATCGGAAATACGCTGTCGGCCGTGCATGACTGTGTCCAATTTTAATTTGTAGCCAGGTACCGGTCCCACGAAAAGAATTTGATTTCGTTCACTAATCCATAATCCAATGCGGTATAAAAGTATTTATTTATCAAGTGAATTAATGTGGAATATGAAGGAATTTCAAATTACAGATGAGTTAAAGGAATGTGGGAAAATGTTTATTAAATAATAACAGAAACTTATTGTATGGAATGATTTGTTTGAGAAATTTACTTAACATAGTCATAAATTTTGAATATTGTACACACATTTGTTCCAACAAGACAAGTAATTGCGACGAAATATTTTGTACATAATATAATGAATGCGAAATTTATTTCCTTCGACTAGCACTATTTATGAAAAAAAATTATCGTGAAATTCAAGAAAAAAATTCAAGACATTCAAGTATGAGCCATTTATCTCGAAAGTGACCTAAATCTATTGTCCAAGAAACTAAATCTATATTTTTTAATATTTACATTTCTACGTTATTTCTTCATTTTTAAGGAAATTTTAACTATTATATTTAAAACTAGATTTTGTAAAAAGAAAATTAGCTGGTTATGGAATGGTACAAATTTTTATTTTAAAAGTGGCTTAAATCCCAGTTTGACAGTTTCAAACGGATATATGTAGAGTAAAATTTAGGATATAAGAGCTCTATGCTTTATTATTTAAATAGTAATGTTCAATTTGCTCAAATTAAGATTTTTATTTTATTTTTTGATTAAGAGTAACTTAAGTCCTTAAACTTCAACTTAACAACAGTAATTTCCTCTGTGTATTTGAGGACAGAAGATTTAGGTTACCTTTTAATGGACGAATATTGAAAAACATGGGATATACATATTTTATGTCACAAGATCATTTTCGTTTCAATTAAATTTGCACAATTTCTCTCAGGTGAGAATTAAAAGCTTTCGTTTCGCAAATTGGAAAATGTGATTGTTCCAATTTTTGCACAAATTAAAACATAAACACCCCGTATAAAAAACTATATTCCTTGTTTTAGTCTAGATTTTATATGAGGAATCATCCCCTTAACGGTTGTACCACGATTTCTTTAGATCACTGTATTATCATTTTATCAGTTATCAATACCTTCAAATTTATTAAACCACAAACCATTAAGCATCTTTCCAAGTAAATAGATTTAGGCCACTTTCAAAATGAACGGCTCATATATGAGTCTAGACCGAGTGCTCAAATGAAAAACTTAAGCTCAGGCGATTGAGAGAAAGAAATTTAATGGAAGAGTGTCTCTTCTTCTATCAGCATGTTATACTTATTGCGGAATGAACACAAAATACATTAGACGCTCGGTCTATTCTCTCATGTCTATGATACAGAATGCACTAATAACAAACCGAAGATAAAAGAATATGAAAAGCTTCACTAATGACAAGAAGCAGACCAATAATCAGCGGCTAATGAGAGTAAATTACGAGGAACCATCTGAGATTGAGAGCAGTTCGTGCGTTATTAAAAATAAGGGAAAAGATGAATTAAAGGAATGAAGGAACATAATCGCAGTTCTCTGTATCTGTAATGCATGGAATGATTTGTTTGAGACTTACTTCAGTGATAGAATTTGCAGTGACAATATTGTATAGTCTTGATCAAAATTAATATAGAATATAGATGAATTTCAAAGAACAAGAAAAAGAAAAAAGAAATGAGTTAAAAGAATAAGAAAACGTGTTATTTAGATGAAAGTTAAGTGCAGTAGAAATATTAAATATTATGCAGAAACGTATTTTTTCCAACAGGATAAATCATCAGAACGAAATACTTCGTAGATAATATAACATAAAGAATGCTGCAACAAACCGAAGACAAGAAAACATGGAAATATAATGACTGCGAATTTTTGTACTTATTATATCAATTCAGAAAATAAAATACAGACAACTTCCTTCAACTTTTAAAAACAATAATATGCACCTTAGTTTTGATACTTCATATACCGTTGGATATTGCATGCATTTTTCATATCTTGTACACATGCAATTTTTCTATAAATGCATAAAATCCGCAGTCTACTAATGGCAATACGCAGGCTTGCTATCAATAATCGGCAGCTAATCAGGTTAAATTACGGGGAATCGTATGAGAACGAGAGTAGCTCGTGCGTTATTAAAGAGACTAGTGCATTAACAAAAGGACAATGCGAGGGAACGATAGCTATCATTATGGAAGCGGTTCGTGCTCCCGACAGTGGACCACCATGTACGATTCAATATATCTCTGCGGCTTCCCATAACATCTCCCATTGAACCTGCTTATGCGGGGTCCGGCCCTATCATGGTGTGGCCATACCAATGAGATTATGCCTACACCTACCATATCCCGCAGATACGAAACTCCCTGGCTAAATTTAATCCTTTCTCGCCGATACCTTCCCAAACACGTTCGCGATACGCAGGTGTGCCATCGCGTTGCTAAAGTAATTGAAAATGGAAATGGATACCATGCGAATTTTCTCAGACCATTTTATGAAATATGGTGTTGGCTATCAGAAGTTATTCAATAAGTAGTTGTTATTATATTATTTAATAAGTACTTCGTAAAGCTGGCAATTTTTAGACAAACTGTGTATCACTCTGCCAGTGACAGTTTCTTATTTTATCTCTACTCTACAATACAACGAAAGATAGTCTTTAATCATAATTTTAAAACACAATTTCCAGGTGTATACACGAATAAAAATCAGACTTGATATTTCATTGAAAACTCGGAAACACAGAATGAAAATTTTCAATCAAACTGCACTTGATACTTTTTTCTATCGCAATACATTATAGTAAATGTCCCAATTTCTGTTTCCAATTTCTATTCGTTGGCTTATGATTACGTAAGGGTGTCCCAGAAAAAGTGTTAGATTGTGTGATAGATTCTGTACGTGTTTCTGAGCAACAATTTCTTTTGCCAAAATGCAAGGAGACGGCATAGTTTTTGAATTGTTAACGAAAAACACTGACCAATGAGAACACGCGTAGGGCCCGCGCTGACCAACGACCGAGCGTTAAGATCTGTGCCACCACTCCCGTGACTGGGCGCACTCCCTACGAGTGCTTTCATTGGTCACTGTTTTTCGTTAATAATTCAAAAACCATGGCTCACTTTGCATTCAATCAAAGGAAAGTGTTGTGCAGAAACACCTTCGGAATCATCCCTTTTCGGCTCTAACACTTTTTCTAGGAGACCCTATATAAAATGACAGATAAAAAGTCAATGAGTAGGAATTGTTATGTAAATAGAAATTGAACAATTTACTACACTGTGGGGTAGGCGACACTTTATAAAAACGGCAGAATATGTAATTCCAATGATTCTCATTTATGTACACAAAATGGGTACTCACGACTCTAGATTCGATGTCGAGGCTCTGATCCCGCCTTCTCTTGCCGAGGACCGGCGTGCAGAGGAACATATCCATGGAGCTGCCATCCCTTCTCAGGCTATCCAAACTTCTGACAGCAACTATAGCCGCGGCCTCGTATAATTCCCTTAAGGCCTTCGGTCTGCTGTTCGATGTGAACAGCGCCGTCGATGGTTTGTTAACGACGTGGAAATGCTCCGTCCTCGCCGCGAACGTGCAAATATCCGACTCGGCTGCAACATTAGAAGGGATCACACGTTTAACACCCCCGCGAACTTTCCACGAGACTGTTCCAAACTGTTTGATACGCTAATTGATGGAAATTCGCGCGACGTGATGCTTATATTAAGTAAAGATTGTTTATAGTGCTATTTCATATCGATCAATAAAAAGTGTATTTTTATAAATTTCCATAAACTCTGTAGTTAATGCAGACATTAACCCTTTTAGTGCCGAGCAAGAGTATCAAACTTATGCAAGGAATACCAATTTGTCGAATTTGTTAAGGCTTGGGAAAATGCTTATAAAAACCAAACTAAGAATGATATTTTCAAAATTAAAAAGGCAGCATATTACGAAACGAAGAAAAAATAAAGTAATGCCAATTGTATTTCAATATTTGTTGAAAATCATACCAATATAAAACATTATGAAAAACATAGGAATGAGTTTCTCTTCTACAAACAATATTTGCACATAAGAATAATCATCATTGGATCACAGCTTTACTTATATCACGTAGTATGAAGTATAAATATTACATTTTCAATCACTTCTAACAAAATAATTAACAGGTATCAATATATTGCCATTACGGTTCCAAGAAGCTGTGTCGAATTTCTATCTCATCGCTTCAGCGTATACGCAGTCTCGTCACCAATCCGCATAGAATATAATAAAAAGTTGAATCCAAAACAATTTTTTTAATTCTTTTACAATGAAATTAGATCATTTATAACGTTTTATAAATTTATTTTGTGATAGAATTCTCACGCAATGCGGATAGTAAGACACCTTCGGATACGTGACGATATATCGTCGTTCAGCACTAAAAGGATTAAGGATTTATAGGCTATATAGGGTGTCCCACAAAAAGTGTTAGCGCCGAAAAGGGGTGATTCTGGAGATGTTTCTGAACAAGAACACGTGTAGGGCCCGCATTCAGCTAGGGATAGGTTGTTTTGGATTGTGACGCTCGGTCGTGGCTCAGCGCGGGCCCTATACGTGTTCTTATTGGGCAGTGTTTTTCGTCAATAATTCAAAAACCATGCCTCACTTTGCATTTTGTCAAAGGAAATTCTTGTTCAGAAACACATACAGAATCACCTCTCTTCGGTTCTAACACTCTTTCTGGGACACCCAGTATACTTAAACGATGCTAGCATGTTGAATTTGTTATTATAGATTCCTATTACTATTAAAAAGCTACCTGTAAAATTTTAAATCAATTCATGGGTTTTTTGAAATATTATAGTGACTTAA